GGGATGGGCCTCTTTCGTGCTGCAGTGCCATCGGCATCCCTGGAGAGCCACGTCTGGTGGCCGTGGCTGCACTCCAAAGGCAAGAATCGTGGTTAGCTAAGCAAAGCTGAATCTCACCAGCCCCAGAGAAGCCACCCAGTGGGACTCCGTGGTTGCTGCAGCAGTGTGTGTGTGTGTGTGGAGCATGACATGGCGCAGAGCTCAGCTCAGGCTTCATCAAGACGGGCTGGTGGCCAACTTGCCGGCAGGCATCCGGCCTCCTTAGTGCCCCTCTTGATGCAAGCACCTGCTTCCACTCACGCGTCCTAGCCCGCCCTCGGCCCCGGGGGAAGCCTATTTCAGTCCTGCCTCTGGACTAAGCATGAGTCACCATCTGCCTACCTTAAAGTTAAACATAACTCTGAACAATAGAGCACCGTCACTGCTCTTGAAATCCACAAATATCTCTTTTCCTGGGAGAAGCAAATAAACTGGAGTGGTAGGCTTTCAACGGGATCCCAATTAAACCAGCAAAAGGCCAGCTCCAACCAGTGCCTACTGGTTAGTGCCCGGAGCATCAGCATCAGCAAGTGGCACAGGAACATGGCTTATCCAAGCCCTGTTGCAACACAGACTATTTTGGGGTTGCTTGGTTTGGACCCTAAGCTTTAACAGAGACTTGCTCCTGTGGAGATGACATGGATCCACTTCTCTTGGGGTTTGTCAGTGTGGCGTAGTGGTTAAGAGAGCAGGACTGGAACTCAGGAGCCTTGGGTTCAAGTCCCCACTCAGCCATGGAGCCCACTGGGTGACTTTGGGCCAGGCACAACCTCTCAGCCCTGCCTACCTCTCAAGGCTGTTGTTGTGAGAAGGAGACTAAAGGAGAATTCTGTAAGCTGCCTTGCAGTCCTTGGAAGGGAAAAGGGTGGGATATAAATCTAATAAATAAATAAATAGGAGCACTGGCACTGCACAACGGACCGCATTATCATTATCTCACAGCCATCCACTGCCCCAGGAATGAGTATCTGGGGGGCCTGAGCTCCAAAACTTACACACCCCTTACTTTGGAGGGTGGGATGGGTATTTTTATTCCCATATATTCCAAGACACTCTAACTGAATATTTAAGCTGTTTACATCAGGAGAGTGCCTATTTTCTTTTTGGGTACACCAGTAAAGGAAGAGATGAAACTCCAACCTAATCCAACATCCTGGCCTTCAAAAAGAAATCCATAGTTCGTTTGCGGAATGTGGATTTCCTTGTAGTGACACCACTAAATTGAACTGCTCTTTGCTGCTTTGGAAAGAGCAGCTCTCTTGACGTGCTGCCTGACCATATCCAGGGAATCGGAAAATTAATGTTTCACATGGGGTAGCCGCCCCTGCAGAATCACTTGCCTTTCCTGGGTGCCAGGTGGAGTCTCAGGCTTCACTGCTTTTGGGCCAGGTAGAGATTACGCCTCTTCCTGCTTTTGGGAGAAGGAAGCTGCCTCTCTCTGTATAGCAGAGATGGGTGCAGCAAGGAGCAAAAAAACGCTGGGAAATCTGGGTGGGGGGAGGAGGAGGAGGTGTCCCATCTCACACCGAAAATACAGAAATACACCGAAAGACATTTGAGCCAATCCAGCATCTGTGGCTCAGAACAGCAGACTTGTGTGTGCTTGGGAAATTACGGGGATGCCTGCAATTTGATTTCACACAATCTGTTCTGCTTACACAAAACCCAGCTGTGCACCCTGTTAGCATCGTGAGAAAAGGCAACACAAGAAATTCAGAAAGGTTTCACTGTGGACCCAGCCAAACTCTTATGCAGTCTTTCACGAAGGCATGGCTCCTGTCTTTGCGAGTTTACACTCACTGTCACCGGAAGGATTAGAAACTTGCTTGTGTTGGCTTTTCAGTTAGCTGCAGTTGTGAGGGTGTGAAATGCTGTGCCTGATGCCACACTTTGTGCACTTGTACATTCGCAACACACACCCATCCACACGTGCATAAGATGGCATCTTTAGAAACTTGTGCTGAGAACAGAAGAAGACGATTATATTCAAACAGCGTAATTGACTCCAACAAACCTTTATTTAGAGTGAGGGATAAAAACACACACTTAGGAACAAGTAAAAAAACACAACCTCACATTTACAAACACAATAGAATATCAGATTGTGCATTTCACAGCATCACTGCTTTTATCATGACATTGGCAACTTCACAGGACTTGACCAATTCCTTCATTTTGGAAAAATTGGTGAGTTTTCCCCAGAAGGGCCTTCCCCAGCCTGATGCCCTCGGATGCTTTAGACTACAAACTTAGCATGCTGGGCTGTTGGTCGTGCTGACTGGGAATGATGGGAGCTGAAGTCAAGGTCAGGGGAGACACCTCTAGTGAGTAGCAGCAAAGTCTGTGGGAGGTACTGTTAGAAGCAGAAATGAAATTCTGTTTGATCGGGTTTTGGGGTTCTGGAACAGCTGGGCTGAGCACGGTACGTTTCATATTATCAGCCACTTCTCATCAGCTTGCAACCCAATAGATCTATTAATTCTAGTAAGATCTGGTGAATGGCCATAAGATCTGGGCACCAGATCTACCAAGATAGGTAGACATTTCTCCTGAGATCCACTGTTGTTTTCCAAAGGTCAGACTTTGTGTGTAGGCAGTATCTTTGCACCCACAGCTGAAATCCGTAGTTCCTTCTATGCCTCCTTTCATCCCTGCAAGGGCATTTTGGACCAAAGAACATTACAGAGTTGAGAAGGTCATGTTTAATATGCGGGGGGGGGGGGCAACATGCTCAGCTATTACCCATTGGTGGTCGCAGCTCTTCAGGTCATGGGTGAAGATTCAGCTGCCTTCCAAAGAGGGAGTTCGTTACTTCTATCATATATGAGAAAACCCCGACTTTGGTGGAGCCGCATGGCACGTTGTCTCAGCCAAAGGCCAATCCAAAGAGGAAAAAAATGGGGGGAGGATTCCCCTTGGGCTTCCAGCAAGAGCTACAAAGGGCAGGTTCTCTTAAAGCCAGATTTCTGGCCGCAACCCACCTGCCCCTTTGTGAACTTCCCTGCTGCAGAAATTGACTTCACAGCCCCTGCTGCATGTCCCTAAAACATGAACAGTTCTGGGCTACCCTGAAGGGTGGCCCTATGCTACAGTCACCCCCACACCCTCTGGAAAACGAGAACAGTCCTGGAGAACTTTGCAGAACTGTTGGAACCCAAACTTTCTCAGCCAGTCTTGCCTCCTGCAATATGGGAATAATAACGATGAGCTTTATGTGCACCAATTGTCAAGATAATTTTGCAAAGTGCTTATAAACGCAGAAAAAATATGTATAAGTGTCAGAAAGATCATGAATGCCTGCCTTTGCTCCTGTGCTTTGCTTTTTAGTAGACACAGGAGGTCCAATCAAGCCAGAACTTGCCCTGGAAGCAAAAATGACAAAACTGAGGCTGTCTCACTTTGGGTACATCATGAGAAGGCAAAACTCTCTGGAAAAGACGATCGGGCTAAGAAAGCTGAATATGAGAGGGGTTGATGCCGCAGCCTTGAGCTTACAAGAATTGGGCAGGGGTGTCAAGAACAGGAGGGCCACCACCCATGGGTTCTCCAAAGGGAGAGAGAACCTGATGGCCATAAGAAAAACAGAAATGCCACCACTCTAGTCCTGGTGGAGGAAATGTGAATCTGGATTTCAAATACATTTGGTGGGCGTGTAACCCCCCTCCGTGATGTCATTCACAGGCTAAAAGCACCCAGATGCAGAGCAGGTTGATTTCTCACAAAATGAACAGGCGGAATCGCTGCATATCGAGTTTGTATCTCAAGTTCTAGAAAGTTACTTTTAAAAAATTGGGGTATGAAAGCTGGGAAGCTGAAGATGATGATGGACCATCCCCAGAGGGTTAATTGTCCTTCCTCACCACTTCCTGCAGATGCCATGAGTGGGGGAAACCTTTGGAAGGGCTTTTGTCATAACAGGATGGCCATCTCTGCCTTTCCCTTTGGTTCTTTGCAGGTGAAAGGCGCAGGTTTTAGGGTGTTTTCACATGCCGGGGATGAATGGCCCAACTGATCAGGAAGGCTAGAAGCCCCCCCCCCCCCAATGTACCATCTTCCCTTGTGATTTTGGGACTGGCAGGATCTGCCCTTACAAATAACACACACCCAACCTCTCAATGGATGGCATTCCCACAGCCCCGCTAACCCTACCTGCAGACTGGAGAGCAGCGTCTTTGTTCATTTAGAGTGGAATCAGCCAAGTGGAGTCGGGGGGAAGATTAACAGTCAGCAACGTGGGACAAGCGCTTCCTCGGGCTACCAAGCCAAGTGCCTAGCCGGCCACGGCAATGCCTTGCCAGCTTGCCAGAAGGCCAGGCTCTCCCCCCTGGCCAGTCTGTGCACTGAAGTTGCTCTTGACCAGGCAGGATGGGCTCAGCCAGCCCCGGGCACAACTGACTGACCTGCCTGGGCGGGCTTTGCCCACCCATAGTTGTGGGGAAACGGGGAGTGGAGATAGAGGGGGCAGGGCAGCAGGAGGCGCTGCCGCTGCGGCTCAGAGAATGGCCCAGCTGGGCTTGGAGGGGGTTGGTTGCACTGAGGGGCTGCTCCCGCGGGGTCAGTTCAGCTCAGCAAGCGCATCCCCTCGGCTGCCTGTTTCTGTTGCTGATCCCCTGCCCTGCCCTGCCCTGCCCTGTGTCCAGAAACCAAAACTAAACTGGATCAGGCAGGCCTGATGAAGCGGTTGCAGCGATGCCACAGCTGGAACCGCGGCCGCACACCTGTGCCGCAGAGCAGCCCCCGAGGGGCTTAGTGAGCCACATTTCCTGTTTCCATCCTGGCACCTGCTTTCCCTCTCTTCCTCTGAAGCCAGGGACCAGGTGAGGTCCGCAGCCTTCCCAGGAGCCACACAGGTGGCGGAAAAAGCGAAGGGTCACAGCACACCCCTCCGTCACTGACAGATGTGAACGCATCATTACAATACAGAGAGAAACACGATGGGGGTCTGGAGCAGAGGAAGCCCCCTACGCCTGGGCGGGCGCATCAGCTGCAGCCGTCTCGTCTTCTGCATCTCGGTGCTCAAAGGCCTCGTGGGCCCTCTCCAAATCCCGGATGACTTCCAGGAGGCCTTCAGCTGCTTTCATCCTTTGGCCATTTGTGTCTGGAGCGGAGGGGCAGGCAGAGAACAGAAGGAGAAGTTTAGATGGAGGGTTTTCCTGGCTTTGGAGGAGCTGAAGTTCCACCAAAGTCTTTCCAGACTTGAATCTCTGGGATTCCTGGGAGCCCGGGTCCAAAACTACCTCATTCACTACAAACTATTGTTTTGTTTCGTTTCGTTTCGTTTCGTTTCATTTCATTTCATTTCGTTTTGGGTGGAGGTGAAGAACACTCTTTGCAGCAGAATCCATGTGGTCCTGGGCCACCCTCACTTTCCCAAGTGCAGATAGCACAGAAGCACAAGGGGCATCCTAAAATCCCAAAAGCCTGTAAAAAGTGCGTTTTGGGGGACACCTCAATTCCCCCCAACTTACTTACTTACTTTATTTATTTATTTAAAGCATTTCACCAAGGTCTCAGGATGGCAATTCAACCATAAGCACAGCCTCAAACAACAAATAAAACCCATTTTTAAAACAACGTCAACTTTTAACATATTGGGGAAATTAAAAAGTGTTGGACTGGTGCTGAAATGAGTACGGTGCCAGTGTCAGGTGCACCTCTCTGCAGAGACTATTCCAAAGCCAGAGCCTTCTCTGCGGTGGCACCCCAGTAGTGGCATATGCTTCCCAGAGAGTTTCACCTGGCATTGGCACTTTATTCTTTTTAAACCTTTAAATTTAAACCTTTTTATTTCCCCAGCATTTTAAGGTTTAAATTGTTATTTTAATTGGGGTGTTTACAGAAGATGATGCAGTGTTTTATTATAGGACCATCCTGAGACCCTTGGTAAGAGGATGGCATAGAATTAAATAAGTAATAGGCTTGGTTGGGCTGCTGCTGAGGGGTCCACTCTCCACCAGCCCCCCCCCCCCCCGGCTGGAGCTGCTGCTCCTCTTTCCCAAGGCAGACTGCATGCTTGCAGACGATGGTGGAGCAGAGGAGGAGCAGGAGATGCCCTGCCCCACACTCACTGGGATCCTGCCCTGCCATGCGAGGAAGGACTGATGGAGCATCCCCAAAATCTGGAGCTGGCAACGAATGCGCGCCAAGGAAGGAGGAAGATCTGAAGCGTCTGCCTCCATTCACACGTACTTCCTGCAATGGCACTGCCGCCCGGTCAGATGGAGAGAAGGTGGGTGCTGGATCACTCACTAGCTGGCCAGTTAGAGGCTTCATGGAGACAGTGAAGATCTGGCAACCCAATGGGGGTCGTGCGCAGCCCATGTTCCCCGACACAGGCTCGCTTCCTGCGGAGCTCCTGCATCAACCAGCAAGGTCTGACTGGACCTCGGAGAGGATCCCGTGCCAGCGGACGATCGCTCAGCCCGTGGCCAGGGGTCTCCTGCCACACCCCCCCCCCAAAGCAGCCAGAGGCCTTTTTCCTTCCCGGCATAGCGAACATCGGTCACTCATGCAGGAGATGGAATCGCTTACACTCGGCTGAGGATGAGCAGAGCCTTCTGGTCATGTGACAGCAAAGAGGAAGCGAACGCCCAGCCTGTGTGGCCGGGAGGCCGGGCGGGTGGAGAGGCCGCGACCAAAGCTCTGGCTTTTGGAAGGACGCGGGGAGGCTAAAGGGAAACGCGCTTCAATTTTCTGTTGAGTTTAGAATGCCTCACAAACGAACAACCATCTGCACATCCTTCGATGCCTTGTCGCCTTCTGGCTGGGTGGCTGTGATGTCAAAAGGGAAAAAAGCCGACAACCCACCAGCTTACGATGCCTGAAAGCTGAAAGCCTTGAATGTCAGTCACTTAGAGGATACCTGAAGGAGCGTCTCCTTCCCTACGAGCCCTTGCGCCCCTTAAGATCCGCAGGAGAGGCTCTGCTCCGGGGACCCTCCCTGAAGGAGGCAAAGAGGGTCTCTCCCCAGAGGAGGGCCTTCTCTGCGGTGGCACCCAGACTATGGAATGCGCTCCCCAGAGAGGCTCGCCTGGAGCTGACTCTATATTCCTTTCGGTGCCAGGTGAAAACCTTGTTATTTGCCTATCATTTTAAATGTTAGAAATTTTAATCAGGTTTTAACTTCACAGTCGCTTTTTGGTTTTTGATTTTGCTCCTATTCTTGATTTTGATTTTGTTTTGATTTTCCTTCATTTGTGAAATGTTATTGGTTTTATATGCATATTTAACTATTTGTTTAATTATTGTTAACCTTTTGGATCATTTGCTTTGATTTTTGTAAGCCACCCTGAAACGCTTTTGCATATAGGGTGGGGTATAAATATTTTAAATAAACAAATACATAAATAAGAGGGGCATTTGAACTTTTTAGAATGGAGGAAAAACTGCACGAAAGCCAGAGACCCACCAAGTGATTGGAGCCTGGGGAAAAGGGAGGGGCATGGTTATGGGACGGCAAAGGGCTCTTTGCTGGCCAGGCCCAAGTCACGGCTCACGCAGGAAAACATGCTGTTCCAGGTAGCCACTCCGTGCAACTTGCGGCCTGGATGCCAGGGTCCCAGTCGCTTGGCCAACGTGCCTTTGGCCACCTCCAGTTCTGCCACCCGAGGAGGGAGGGAGGGAGGGACTCACCGCTCTGCGCGCCCTTGCCGTGCTCCTGCGCAGCCCCGCCGTGCAAAAGCTCCAGGTGCGTCTCACTATGGGGAGAGAAGTGCATCTCGTTGTGGGGCTCCAACCTTTCAGTGCCAAACAGCTGCAGCAATTAATCAGCTCGCCTGGGAATGGCAAGTTTTCAACGCTTTGCCTTCTCGACACCGAGAATTCCCTTTACTTAAACTGAAGGAACATGGTGTTCAGGCAAAGAAAGCCCTGTTTATTCCTAGGCATTAACCTCCCCCCCCCCATATTTTTCTTATTACAGTTTTGCATTCAAACGGCACCAAAGGCCAAGGAGCTAACTGTGGCCAAAGCAACAATCGGGTTGTACATCGAGCAAATCAATGCTATCAGTTACACTCGCTGGTTCAACGGAGAGCCGTGTCACAACAGACAAACAGTTTGAACGGCAATCAAAAACACCACTATTTATCCCCTGGAAGTCCTCCGTTCTCTGTTGTCCATCGCCAGTTTTTTACTTGAATTGGCAGACAAATGAGTAAACTCAAGAACAGAAGGAAAAGGCCATTTATTTTGCCTGCCGTGCCGGTTTCTTCCACCCTGGTGGAACACAGAGGGGCAGTGCTGGAGGGCCTGCTGGCCTTGTAAGTGGTCCAAGGCTCCCTCCACAGTGAAAATGGACAGGGATCCTGTGATGGGGGGAACCGGCAGAGCCGCTGCCATTCAGAGGACTAGCTGGGCAACATGCCGGGACCGAGCAGCTCAGGGCACCCAGGCTCACGGACGACAGGCTGGGCTTGATCAGAAGGTGAAGGGGAAGGGGAACTGGGGATGTGGGCCAAGCCAAGAGGAAAGAAGTAGAGGTGCGTGTCTCAAGGCCAGATTCAGGCTGGACAGGCAGTCCCCGGGAATAACCAAGATGTAGAGCTGCAGTGGGGGACCCAGAGCAGGGGACTTTCTCAGGCACAGGTGAGGTGGTCCTCACCTGATGCATCCCCAGCAGCCCAGTGCGGCCCAAATAGAAGATGGGTGCAAGGAGAGGAGGCACGCTCGCTTTCAGAACCCTCCCCCGAAGGGATGGGGCCCAGGCCTGCTCATAAGGATAGTTCCTGGAGGTGAGTACCAGACTGGGTTCAACACACTGCTCTTTGCACGCGCAGAGATTCATTCTGGGTGCTTCGTGCTTTTGGCTTTGCAAGGGAAAAGGTCTGTGGCTTCTGAATGTGTGAAGGAGGAGCCTTGGCTCTCAAGACAAGGGACTGAGCTTCTGAAGAGGTGTGTGATATCTGAAATGGACAGCTTCACCCCTGCTTTTCCTCTTCTGCCCCACCTCATCCCTCTGGTGATATGTGGCTAAGGAATGCAGATCATTTGAGGCCCTCCTGCAAGTGCTACCTTTGAGGGAGACTCGGAAAGCGGCAGGAACGGAGAGGGCCTTCCCAGTGGTGTCCCCCACTGCAAATTCTGGAATGATCTTCCCACTGAGGCCTTCCTGCACCTACTCTACGCTCTTTTCCCAGATATTTAGAAGCATGCACGTGAAGCAGTGTACTCAGGCCAATGCAGAGTAAAGAGGGATATGAAGGCAGTTGTGATCAGGCGTGTGGAATGGGCCACATTCTGTTCTGGAGAAGCTCGTGGGGCTGCATGCCACCAGTGGGCAGGGCCAGAAGGCAAAAGGGGCGGGGCAAAAGCACCAGCATTTTAATTTAAGTTCCTTATGGCCAGTAACTAAGTCTTAGCGCTGGTTTTTCAGCCTACAGTATTGGAATGGGATAATGATCAAAAAGACTTGGTATGATGCTTCACCGCGTGTCCATTTGCAGGCAAAAAGCAAAACGTTGAACTATCTTGGATGCCATTTATTATTTAGATGAAATGGCAATTTAATTTGGACATCAGTACATTTGGGGCTTTTGCAATGTCAGTGTCAATTTTTGAAGAAGATCTTGGATGGCGGGACATAGGGAACATTAGGATTAGTTTGTTAGGTGATTGTTAGTTGTATGCAGTTTTATCTGTAATTTTGTTTTATTTGTAATTGCAGTTTTATGTAATTCTTGTGATGTACTGGTTGCATGTTTAAATAAAAAGAAATATGAGAAGTAATGGGTGGGGGAAATATAAAAGCAGGGAAAACACAGATTAACGAAAACGGGGCGTGACTTTTGGGGGACTCAGGCATGAAGCACCACGTTTGCCCTCAGGTGCCCTGCCAAGGCCCTGTTCTCCTGGTTTACAACCAGGAAGTTTCCAGATGGGGTTTTTCTTGGGCAGAACCCCCTGTGTCCTTCATGGAATTTTAAGCAGGGGGTCCAAGCCACTGCTATATTCACCTGTCAAGATGTTTTCCCATTGCTTCTTGTGTTTTTTTTTTTTTTTCTGTCCAAAAAAGAGGAAAAGCTGGACTAACAAGCCATTGCCTTGGGATTGGTTGCACCTCCATCAACAACCCACCCCCCCCAAGATTGCAATAGGATCTCCAGAGTTAGAGGTAGGAAAGGTCTTTCCCATCAGCAGCTCATCATCCCCTCGAACTGGGGATGCCAAGAGCGGTACCTCGACCTGGACCATGAGGACGCTGTACTCTGCTGCTGAGTTCCAGCTCCTCCCACGGGGCTTCAGCCACCATGAGACGTGGCTGTGGGGAACTCTAAAATTGCCTCGTGTCTCTTCCAGTGAAGGAAGGATGGCTTGCTTGCCAGGATCAGTGAGAATTCCTTACCTTAGGGCCTCCTCTGGTGGGCACATCTAGTAATGCAAGGCAAATACATCGAGAAAGGGCCTTTCTGGGATTGGCCCCCATTTCCAGAATGTCCTTACTGAGGAGGTTCATCTAGGGCTTCATTATCTTATTGGCAACCTGCCCTGCCCCAACCCCACCATTTTATTTTATTTGCTCAGTTTTTAAAAGTCTTGTTTTGCTTTTCTTTTTAAAGACATTGTAATAACACCTGGCTTCCAATAATAGCCGCCTCTCGTTTTAAATATTAGTTTTGATGGTCTGTATGTTTAATGTTCTGTGTACTGGCAATTTAATCACCAGTTTAACTGGCTGATATTTTAAGTTGCCCTGGGAATCCCTTTGGGTTGAAAAGCAGGATAAGAAATGCAGGATTTATCAGATAAATAAGTTACCCACAGAATGGTTCAAAGGCTGTGGCTATCTGGGTCCTGTGATTTCATACGAGTGCAAGATAGCTGCAAAATGCAGTACTGGCTGCAGCTGGCTAGGAATCAACAGCCCTTTAAAAGAAGAAGAAACGTTTCTAGTCCTTATGAGTGTGGGAAAAGGCTGCAGCAGTGTGCAAGTGACACAAAATGCACACTCAGAAGTGGACGGAATTGCTGTGCATGGATCCCAGAGATTGGCGGGGGGGGGGGGGGTCAGTGCCCTGCCCTCACCCCCGGGGGCAAAAATCAGTTCTGCATACAAGAAAAATCATGCCGGTGTGTTCAATTGGCATGATTTATACAGGGCACAGAACTGCTGCAGGTGCAGAATGTTAGATGCAGAATTCTGTGTTGTCGTTTTGCTTTTTGCTTTCCTTTCTTCACAAGCAGCACCGATGTCCCTGCTCAAAGATCTCCTGCAACTATCCACTGGAGAAAAGCAAATACAAGCGAGCATTTTTTAGGCGCACAGAAACTTTGGCAACCACACATACCGCATCAGACCACTGGCCCAGCGTACGTAGTGATGTAATGTGATCACTCACATTGAGCCAGTGTGTCTCCAGGGCTTCGGGCTGGCTAGCCCCCTGGCCCTGCCTGGAGATGGCAGAACTGGAACCCGGGACCTTCTGGTCTATCGTTAAGCTGCACAGGTAACGCCCCCAGAGCAACAGCCATAATTCCACACACCCGAGCCAGCTCGTGGACTCACTGCATCCGCACAGACACGCAACGATTCTTCCCGGGCTGCATCGCCAGCCACAGACCTGAGCTTTTCCCTGCCCAGCAGAAGCTGCCTGTACACCATCTGGGCCTCGGTGTCCGGGTCCAAGGGGTCGCTCCAGTCTCCCAGGGTCACCGTGGAGTGTGTGCGGCTGCAGCCTCGAACTGTAACCAAAGCACAACCGTGGAAGGTGAAGGAACAGACTGTCACATGGAGCAGGATGCGATCTGGGTTTGGGCCGTGCCCACAAGGGGAGTTTGGAAAGTCGCCCCTTTGAAACGGGTGGGGAAGTCATTGAGCCCGAAGGCCAAAGACATTTCTGGAGAGGCTTCTGGGGGCTTCTGATAAGCAGGGGGCCCAGCCAGAGGCAAAGAGGGCTGGACCCAGATGTGGAAACTACTGGCACATCATTGCTTAAAGGTCTTACAGACAGGCGGTAAACCTTAGGAGAAGCTTTTCCATGTTTCAGGATGGGAAAAGTGCACAGAAGAGGGGACACGGCTGAATGCTCATGGCGCTTGGAGCTGCCCAGCCTGGGGGGCTGAGACAGGGGTCTCCTCCAGGGTTTCCTGCCAAGGCGCAGTCTCTACCTAAAGGGAACTGGTGCAGGCACTGGGTCGGCGAAGGAAGGATGGTGAACCTACATGAAGCCCAATCCTGGAGGGGACCTACAGTCCATTAGCATTATTAGACTGCAGTGAGATCCTGCCCTTTTTCTTTTCTGAAGAACCCAAGGCAGCTCCCTTAGCTCCTTTTTGCCCTCAGAACAACAACCCTGCAAGGCAGGTTGAGCAGAGACTCTGTGACTGGCCCAAATTCATTTGCTGAGCTTCAGGGCCAAGTGGGAACTGGAACCCAGATCTCCCAGGTCCCCAGTCCAACAGCAGCACAATCCAGAACTCTCTAACTGTGCAACCAACAGAGGACTTTTACATCCCTTAAAAGGGCACACACGTGTGCAAAGAGACCGAAAGGCAGCTCTGACTTAGCCACGCGCGTGCCCGTGCCACTATTTCTTCCATGCCAACGCCTGCCTAACCCTCTGAATCTCCACGTGCCGCTTCCCACGACCGCACAGTAAAGCCAGGCTGTATTACCGGCACGGTCTGTCTGCAAGCAGCAAGTCCAGCGATTTCCACGGAAGACGCCCGGGTGGCAAAAGGGTAACATGCACTCGTTGGAGATGGTCACTTTCCGGATAGCCGAGAGCCACTGATTGAGCTCGTTGAGGTTCTGCCAAAGAAAGGAGAGGGCCGGTGAGGAAACAGCAGGATTGCCCGAGGCTGTTTCTATTCTGCCTTTCCTGCAAGGTGGTACGGGTGGTTCCCCTTCCCCAAAACAAACCTCGTGAGATTTTGGAGAAAGAGCGGTCAACCTTCACAGCCAGTTGGGGACTAGAACCTGGATCTCTCCAATCCTATGCTAACACTTGGCCCTACCAGAGGCGGGCAACCGGTGGATGGGACAGCAAAGAATAATCCGGAAGGCTAATCCCTGAATTCTTGGCCACTGGCCACGCTGGCACGCGTTTATGGGAAGTCCAGACCATCTGAAGAGCTGCCAACACACTAAGCTGTGTTGGCCCTCCCCTGCCTTATTTCTGCCAGAGAAGCAACATCCAAATCAGAGGGATGGCCGAACTTCTGACCCTCTAGATATTTTATCCCACAACTCCCATCAGCCTTAGCCAGCAGCAGCAATGGTGAGAGTTCATGATAGTTGTAGGCTGAAACATCTGGAGGGTCCGCCTGAGTGACCAAACTACATAAAAAGGATAAAATACACCCAGAAAAATCTTAAAAGCCAAATGTTTGGCGTACACCCTACAAGAAAACGGGGGAACCTTTGGAAGCATCATTAATTGCCCCAAGTGCATGGGAGCAGGTTTAACGAGCCATCTGAAGGCCTAGATTGAGGGAGAAGCCCCAGCCGTTTGGATCCATAGCTGTGGATGCTGCACAAGCACAGGCACAGGAAACTGGGATTGGCCTTTCACTGTGCTTTTCCTTTTGTCTTTTCCCGGAGCATTCAAGCGTCTTAATATCTATGTCAACAGCATCACCTCTGGATGGAGGCATCTCTATTCCACGGAACTTCACCACAACATTAAAAAAATACCTGGTGATCAATAGATGTAGCAAGACGGGGTGGGGGGGGGACATAAACAGACACTGAAAGAAAGTTAATGGCTTTGGGGAAGGGCTAGTCATGGCCAGGGATGGTTGGGACTAGAAATCCATTCTCTAAAAAGAAGAGTATCCCCCTGCTATAATAAAAACAATAAACTGGGGAAGCAGATGAGCTGAGCTCTTCTCCATGGCATGGTGGCCTTCTAGAGGAAGGGTGTCTTATCCTGGAGGGAACATTCACCCCTTTCACCCCCCACCTGAGCAGGAGGATCTTTGCCACTTGGATTTTGCTGCGTTCCCCAAAAGGATGCGGGTGGTTGTTTCTCCATTGCTGGTCTCGGTGTCAGTGGGGCAGAGCTGGTGGGCTTCCATGCAGGAATATTAAGGGCAGGCTTGCTGGAATGCATCATCCAGTCCAGCCTCTGGCTCACCCAGCAGCCAACCAACCACAAGTAGAAGCATGCAACAGCAGCTTCCAGCCCATGTTCCCCAGCGACAGGCACATGGCATCTGATACTGGAGGGAGTCATCCAAACGCATGGCTGTAAATAACCTGCTCCTTCGGGCATTTCTCCAACCCCTCTTTAAAGCTGTCTGAATGGCTGCCCATCACCATTCCAGAGGTTACCTGAATGGCTGCCCACCAAGTCCATTCCAGAGGTTACCTGTGTGCCGTGAGCAGAAGCCTTTCCTTGGTTCTGTCCCAAATCTCCCCCCCCCACCCCCAAATCTGCTTCCTGTGATGATCCTGTTGCATTCTAATACTATACAGAAGGAGGGAAATGTTTCCTTATCCGCCTCTTCACGGGATGCCTAATTTTGCACACATATCATGGCTCACCTTTCTCAGCTCCCAGATCTTTTAATCTTCCCCCTTTCTTGTGCTTGGATGCACGTGAGGACCAGAAAACGTACAAGCCCCGAACGGCTCTGCCTTACCTTGCATTGAATGTACATGGTGCAGAGCTGCCCTCCGTTGTCACGTGTGGTGATCTGCATCACGTGCGCCTGCTGGAAGGCGTTTTCGTCCACGCGCTCCACGGCACAGATCCGCTGGACGGGGACGGATGTGCGCACCTGGTCATGTGGGAACAGCACAAACCGACTGCGTGCCAGCAGAACGGACACCATTTTCAATCCATACTGGGGAATATTTTTGCCAAAAGATCCCAAGCTACCACCCTAATGTGGTGGATTCTGATGTAAAATGTTGTGATTTTTTAAAGCAAAGAATGTTTTTAAAATGCGACATCCCAGCTACAATAACCATTGAGTCTTGCAAGCATTGGGAGTTTTGCTGGTTATGGGGCGGCTGATGTGGGCCACCTGGATGGTCCTAAAATGCTCTTTTCCCAAAAGACCAGCTGATGGGATTAAAAGAGCAGAAAGGCAGAAGTAGGGTATGAACTCTGGAAGACAAAAGCCATGCTTTTGCACTCAATTGAAGCCAATTCTGCATCTAAAAAATGAATCGTAAGAAATAATTTATAAACCCAGAAAGGCAGGGAGCATTTCAGGAGCAAACAGTTCTGTCTTTATGTTGGACACCCCAGTCTTAAATATTTATCCCTTTTTATGGTTGGGGTAAAACAAAGTGCCTGGATCCACCACTTGCAAGGCTGGACCCGACTCCCCTGGCCCTGCCCTCCCTGACTCCTGGGGGAAATGCCCACCTGCGATTCGGGAGATTTTGAGTAGGAGAAGCTCTCGTTGCTTAACCAGAAATAGCGTTTCTTGAAGGTGAATCGTGAAACCAAGTGGAGGCCCTCTGCCTTGCGTTTCTGCAGGTAGCCCTCTTTTATGGTGGCCGAGGGCTGGAAAACGGTCCGGGTTTGCTTCTCGCTTGCTCCTAGGGAAAGAAAGAGCGAGCTGTTTTGATCTTTCAGGTTCGAGAGAAGCCCTGGACAGCTGGGAACAGATGCAGCCTTTGCTTTGGCTGGAGCTAAACCCCACTCTTGAGGCCCCTACACACTTCCACACGGAGATTATACGGAATCCCATTCCCCCATGGGGGCAGTGCTTGTAGCGTTCCCATTGGAGAGGGTCCAACTTCCACAGTTCTGCAGGAGTGTGGGAAATTGCCAAGCCTCTTTCTAGAAAATATGTTTTCTGTTTAAAGAAGCAATAGCACCACCAGATTTCTAGCCCTCATGAAGGCATATTAAGGTTCCCAAGCGCAGACTGCATGGAATTTCTGTAATCACAGAAGCAGTGACTGAATAACAGGGAATCTGCCTGTAGGCATCTACTCCGAAGGAAGATCTACACTCTTCTGTGCTAAAGAGACACTTCTGTATAGCCTGAAGTGCCTGATTCTGCCTAATCTTAGAAGCTAAGCAGGGTCAGCCCAGGTTGAAATCTGGATGGGTGACCTGAATCCTGCGTTGAGCAAGTGATTGAATCTGATGGCCTCCTAGGCTCCTTCCAACTGTATGATTCTAACTATCTTACAGACCGTGGGTCCTCCAACTACGGCCTGGGGGCCAGATCTGGCCTGCCATGCCCATTTATCCGGCTCGCCATGCCAATTTGGACCTGCCTGGTGTGCCCTCGCGGTGTATGCCCCCCCCCTCGCTGGCCCATGCGCACCGCCGACACCACCTTTCTGGCCCACGCCCAGCACCTTTCAACTGGCCCCCTGGTGGAAAAGTTTGAGGACCCGTTATAGACACTCGCCTGGGACTTATTCCCAGGGAAATCCATATAGGATTTGCATCCCAGGTCAGTGTGGATAAGGATGTGCAAGGGAAGAGCTACAGAGGCTGAGTCCATGCCTCTCCCACGGTAAGAAGAGAATAAACGTGTAATTTTATTGATTGTGTTTTGGATGTGTCCAAGCCCAAAGCCTGGGGGCTCAGGAAGATCCAGGGCGAAGGTGGGGAAGAGGCCATCTCCCCTTACCTCCTTCTTGGCATTTTAACCAGACAGCTGTTGTTCTGCTGCACCAGTTCCAAAGGGACAAAGGGGATTGGGGTGTGGATTCCCAACCGCCTATCTGGGAATCCAGATTATCCTAGAACCCACTAGGCACTGTTGCTCACCCCCTTGCATAAAATTTGCACAATCTGTGAAATCAGATCGTGCAAATTTTGGACGTCCACATGGTGGGCATGTCATGAGTGGAACTGGCTGGTGCCGGAGGTCAGACTAGATGGCCCGGGAGGCTCCTTCTGACTCGCTCTGTTTCTGTGTTTCTAAATCAGAAATGCAAAAAGAGAGAAAAGCCCAAGGCTGGCTCAGCATCCACCCATGCTGCAATCTTCAGCTGCCCTCAGGGAAGAATGTGTCTATTTTCTTGCATATGGAGTATGCCCATCCTCTCTGGACTGCAATCTGTGGGGCTGATTGGCAGGGCAGCTCTCCCCGTTCACGATTGCACAGCTCCTTCCAGGAGGGCGGAACGCGGGAGCTCACCGGCCTCGGAGTCCACATCGATGAGCTTGTCTAGGAACTCCTTGACTCGCCCGATGCTCGACAGGATGAAGGGGAACAAGGGCTGCATCCACGCCTCCTTGCCCTGGCCCAGCTGGAGCCCCAAGTTTCCAATGCTCTGCACCGCCTGCCGGGAAGAGGGCAGCAAGGAAGAGGAGAGGCACCCCTGCCGAGATCCTCCCATTTCAGATGCAAAAACGCCTGCAAATTTTCCTCAGCCTCCCGGCATTAATCGCACCCCACAACCATGCGCGGACGGTACCTTGGCCAGAAGCAGAAGGGTGCGGCTAGTCTGTGGGTCCGCGTGCTGGTCGTGCAGGTGGAACAGCTTTGGGGTCAGGATGGCTGGAGCGAAGAAGCGGAGGAAGAGGAACCCGCTGATGGCGATGTATCTGATGTCCTGCGAGGAAAACCGCAAAAGGGGGAGCCAGACCCAGCGTGAGCCCACACGGCGTGGTGACGCATCACGGTTACAAAAGCTCCTGGCTGCAACACGGTGATTAGAAACACGGCAAAATGCTGGGAAGGCCATGTGTGCGCATGGCAGCCAAGGGGTTAAAGCAACACCAGGAACAACAGGGATTCTTAATGGATGCAAAGGGGCCGACATATTTTAACTCGCTCAATGTCTTCCAAGGCTCCTTTTTACTAAAATAAATATGCACTTGGGGCATAGGAACGGGTGTCATAAGTACAGGTTAGGGGACAAGTGGCCGGAGCCTCTTAATACAGTGTTCTCTATCACACTTGCAGTCAGAATACCTCTATTTTGCACTCCCCCCAAAAAAACCAAAAAACCCCAACCTCACCAACAAATCACATGGAAAGGTAGCATGTCAGGAAAAAGGGTTATAGCCTGACATGCTATTTTTCTATATGCAGGGAATCCCCTCCCCCATATCCAGAGGAACATTCAATACAAGCCCCTGTTCTTCAGTTTGAACTGATATTATGTGGTGAGAGGTGAGAAGAAGGCAGGTGTGTCTTAAGGACTGAACTTTTCCCCGAATGGTAACTACCCATATTAATGAGAGAACAATTAAGAGGGCACTATTGGGACGGGATCTAAATCAGTTCTAAATAATGAGCATGTCCAGCCATGGACAACGCAAGCCCAACTCTTTCCTGGCATCTGTGCCATGCTCACAAAATGGGATGGGGTGTCCTCGAGTCTTGCTGTTTTTTTATTTATTTTGTTTATTTTTCGATTTATATGCTGCCTTTTTCCTACAAAGGGCTCAAGGCAGTTTACTTCATTCTCCTTCTCCATCTTATCCCCACAACAACAACCCTGTGAGGTAGGTTGGGCTGAGAGTCTGTGCCTGGCCCAGAGTCACCCAGTTGGCTCCATGGCTGAGCGGGGACTCGAACCCGGATCGCCTGAGTCCCAGTCCCATGCTCTTAACCACTACACCCCACTGGCTCTCATTCACTGAACTTTGTTCAGATGGCAAAATTCAAGTGGCAGTAAAACAGGGGTGCAGAATGTTAGGCCCCCAGTTCCAGTGCAGAAGGTCATCCCGCCTTTTCTGGCCCTAACCTGTTACTCTCAACCAATGAGCATTCCTGGCTTTTGGGAAGTTCTTCCCCCATTTCAAGAGGCTGAAAGGCTTCTTCTAAGACACACTGTATCTACAGGCAGCTAACTCAAATAAGCTGGTATTTTTGGTATTCTGGCCTCACCCTTTTGCCTTTGGCCAAACCCACCGCTGGGATGCGGCCCCCGAGGGGTTCTCTGAAATGGAATTCGGCCCTCGGGTGAAAAAGGCTCTGCACCCCTGCTGAAAAGCGTCGTACCTGGTTCTCCACTTCCACAAAGTGATCCTTCACCCGCTTGTGCAGCTGCTTAAAAGCCATCCTCATGAAAGGAGGGCACTTCTCCGTCGAACTCACAATGGACTCAACGATGTCCCCCAGGTACCCCTCCAGCACCCCCAGGCTGCTCTCCCGTATCTGGGCCTCGGACAGGGAACCTTTGAAGGATATCCGTCTGGGAGAAATACAAAACCGGGGCGGGGGGGGAGGGAGAGGCGTTAGAGGGTCTCTGTCTGGCATCTACTGCTGAATGGTGTTCTGACCAGTATTTCACTGCAGTGGATTCCTGCCCTCCAACATGCGGCTGCAGGCAGAGCCAAAAGGGCGCAGAAAGATTTTCAGCAACTTTTAGACCACCTTTCTTAAGATGAAAGTGCCGAAGCACCACCGCTAAACTAGAACCCAGTGCCTTTTGGGAGCATCTGTGTCCGTTTCCTTTCCTTTTGCAGATTTTTGCTTTGTTTTTTCATCAAAGAATGTCTGAGGCCACAGTGAGCAGCATGGCATTTCCCGGGAATGAAGGATCCGTGGAAAAAACACACACATCCAAATTCAAGCCTCTTAATAACAAGCACAACTGAACAGAGCAGCAAAGAAAACCACAATCTTAGATAATGAAGTCAACACCTCCTGGAATGGAAGCGCCATTAGGGGGCAGTGACAGACCCAACAGGAAAACACCAGATGGAGGTGCCCAGCTGGAAATAAGCTTCCCGTGTTCCCACCACATTTGCGTTCTCTCCCTCTCTCTGGAGACCCGGGTTCAACCCCACCATGCCCGTCAGGGCCAGCCACCCTGGTCAAATACATAATTTCAGTCAAACATTTGAATGCAGGAGAAAGCAACACTGACGCCTCCATCCATCTCTCACTTCCATCTCTCGGCTTATTTGCAAATGGTTTATTTGTAAATAAATAAAAATGTTACCAAGTACCAGGAGTATTGAGTGACTGCATTCCAAAAAAAAAGCCAAGTGCGACATCGTTGGAGCTTCTCACTGTTTGGAGAAGTGAGAAGAGCGCCACATGGGTGTTAAAGGGGGGGACTGTGTTTTGCTGGAGAGGAACCGTGAACTGGGATGATTCAGGCAAAAAACAGAGTTTGGATCTGCATTGCTCCTGATGTAATCCAGGCTGTTGCTACTGCAAGCGGAAGCCTTGCAGTGGCAAAGCGTAGAAACTTGCAAGAAACCTACCACAAGTACAGTCTAAGGCCTTTCTCCAAATGCCATGTCCAGGGGAGGCAACATGGCGGAGGGCCTTCTCTGTGGTAGCCCCCAAATCCTGTATCACTGAGGCCCGCTTGGCACCAATGCTACTACTTTTTTGGTGCCAAGATCAGACCACTCTCTTTGCCAAGGCATGTGCTTTGTGATGCTGCCAGGTTGTCTCCAACATGTGGTGATCCTATGAATCCAAAGCTGGGGCTTCCTTAACCCTAAGCCTAAGCCTAAACCACAAACTGTGTAAAGAGCCAGTTCCTGAAGTTTCAAAAGACCTCAGGCTGTGTCTTAGTCAACAAAAAGTTGTGTTTCACATTTACTGGATGCCACAATATCTCATTACCAACCATCCGTCTAAGTCAACCAACAGCTGGAAGCATCGTACTGGCACCGCTTTTTTAATTATATATTTTGCCTATTTCCAATAGTTGCTGCTATTCAGGCGGAAGTTATAATATGGATAAACTTTGTATTAGAACACAATTTGATACTTTCTTGTGCACACAGGCTTTCAAATTGCCTACTTGTTCTTGGAAGTTAAAACCGGGCTGCATACATGGATTTTACGTGCCTTTTGAACAGCTAAAAAATGGAGATTGCGACACGGGAAAGAAAAATGCTTGCCGACAAAGTGGTGGATCAAAGACCTAAGAGCACTTTCAATATCTGAGTGGATGACAAACACACAACACTCTTGAATAGGCATATATATGAATACTTGATTTACCTCTGTGGAACCTTATGTATAATGGATACATTTGGGGTTTTGCTGTTATTTGCATATTTGCATATCAGTATTTGTCAGTCTCGGGGTTTTTTTCTCTTTTATATGTTTATTTTGTTTGTCTGGTGGAATAACAGTAAAAAAATAAGTACGGAATACGTACTTCCACCCTGCAAATATTTTGTCACTGCCCCGCCCCAATCCATTAACACACCCAAACCCCACTAACAGCCCCCATTGCATTGCAATCTAGTCTCGGGGCTTCTTCAGCTGTCTCCCCCTGAACACTTCAAGCAAGATGCAGCTATGCAATCTTCTCCCAGGGCCAAACCCTTGTTGAACATCTCAGCTCCAAGCCAGATGATGCAGTGCTGTCTCCAACAGCATCCCGGAGATGCTGTTGCCTAGCAACCTGCGTGGACACAGCATCTCTCCCAGGAACATGGCTATCTTTGGAGCGGCCAAAATCCTCATAGTGTGCTGACCACATGTCCTCGGTGCTAATGCTCTGCTACCTGTTTCAGCAGAGCATTAGCCATCTCCCTGAGCATGTCACGGTTCTGCACATGTAGCCAAGGCTACCCTTTCTCACAGAAACACTCACAGAAACAGACATTGCACTGTTGCACAAGCTCGGACCTTGGCAATGGCCTTGCTCCAGTAAGAGCACATTTCTCTTATCGAGACAAGAATCTTTTGCTTTTTTGCTGCCCATTTTCTGAGGCTGAAGTCCACATTCCACACAGTTTTTGGACATCCTGGCTTCACTGCAACACAGCTGCTGGTTCCAGGACTTTTTCACTGGCATTGTCAAAAGGAAGAGGGGGCTGGAAAGACTAGATGGCATCCACCCAGGGAGGCCTGCAAAGCCGATGCTCTTATCCCTACGCCCTTCCCTAACACCCTTCATTAAGGACAACAAAGATGGCACCTAGTATTTCATATCTGCCATTGTGAAAGCAATGCGAGATCAAAAATGGACCTCTTTGGGCAGAATTTTCAATGTCTGTTTATTTAGTGATTCGATTCATCTCTCACCATTTTTTTAACCCAATCCTCTCTATTCAATCCCAACAACCCTGTGAGGTAGGCTAGGCTGAGAGTGGGGCTAGGCTGAGAGTGTGTGGATGTGGCCAGAGACTAGGTGGAAATGCCAGGTGGGGGGGTGCCACGAAAACTGAATTAAGTATTTTCCCTATACAGAAATGTGAAATTGTGCCTGCCTACCTGTGCTGACTGAACCCTGTGGTGGTCCCAGACCCCGAAATCTACCGGAGCTCCCCAGCAGAAGCACCTGGCCTGCGGGAGCTGGCAGGTCAACTCCCCCAAATAATTCCCCTTCTCTTAACTACCGTGCGGGAAGAGCTGTTTTCCCTGCAGGAGCTGCGGGTTCCTCGGCCAGAAAAGCAACTCCCGCGGGGCAGGGCCCTGACAGAGGGATTCTGTTCCCTGCATCTCCCACGCCAGTCTCCCCTCAGTGCTGACACAGCCTGTAAGCCGCACCGTTGTTTATCTTGCTGGCACCGTTCTACCTAATTATTTTTAGAGCCATACATCATCCGCCAGGCAAGCGTTGCCGTTTCTGTTTTAATTAGCACCGATGAGTGAGAAAAGCTACTTGCGAATGACACCGGTTCCCATGCGCCACTGTTTGGATCGTTTCTCATCTCCTTCGCTGCTCCTCAGAGGAATCAGGCCTGTCTGCAGCTTTCCTCCAAAAGGATGATTCAGTGCAGGTGTGTGCGCACACATAAATACGCTTTTTGGCTTAGATTTCTGAAATCCACCCTGTGGCTCCCAGTTCCCACCCACTTTGAAGGATGGCTTGATAGGAATCTTCGTGTAGACTTCTGTATCCTCCAATGTGGAGACGTGTGCCAGTTTCTGATTCTCAGAGGACCCTTCAAAAAGTGCTCCCCTCCAGAGAGGGTGCTCAGGCTGAAGGCATGGCACCCCCGGAAGAGAAAGATCAGGGCCAGCTCCTGATTTGAGGAAGCCCCCCATAAATTGCCTCTGTGGGGTCCCTTTGATGTTGGTGGGCCTCATCAGGCCACGGCTTACCTGGTAGCAGTGCAGACAGTGTAATATTTCCCATGATTCCCCAGAGTGACGGATACAGCACTGCTCTGGGGCATTGTGGGAAATTTACAATGGCGACTTGCTGCCACTGGACACCAGTTTGTCCCATCGAAGAATGAAGATATTAATAAAAAAGAAATATGGGGGGACTGAAGAGAATTTTTAAAAATGATGGGGTGGGAGCTTACCAGCTCATGCTGTGCTGACTCCCATCTTTTTTCCCACCCTGCCTTTCGAAAAGAAAAGGTTGCTTCCCAACAAGAAACAACAACATGGCATCCGTGCCCCTTCTGCAGCGAAATGCTTTTGACAGCGAAAACTACATACAGCCTGGGGAGGATAAATGGTCCCCTGGGAAAGCACAACGGCCAGAGCATTTGATGAAACATCCATTTTTGAGTGGGTCGTTTTTAGGGGTAATTATTAAATGGATAAATATGTGGCTCTTTGGGCATCTTGGTTGCATGCATGCATAATCATCTTTAACCGAAACAGTATGTCAAGCTACCTACAAACACACAGGGAGCGCTAATGTCCATGTGCTTTGTGTGATGGATTTCTTTAAATCTGATGCAAGAGCGCTGCACTATTTTCTTTTATCTCCCTGGCTCTTCCCTACCGATATTGTGTCCTGGTGTGGCATTACTGCTGGCAGGATAATGGACGTGAAAAGGGAGCTGCAGAAACAGAGCGGGTGGGGGCGGGGGGGGGGAGAGAGAGAGAGAGAGAGAGAGAGAGAGAGAGACTTTTGGGGCCTGCAAGTGCATTGGAGGGCTGCATTTTTGGCTTAGCGCTGAAACAAGCATAATCTCCTGGTGCATATCAGAATATAGTTGGATTTATTCTCCTGATACATGTGTGCCCACAGCGAGCGCACCGGAATCCCTTCCCTTCCCTTCCCTCCTCTCCTTGAACTCTATTCCTCACCTGGTCCGGCTCGGCTCAATCTTGCATGGATCCAACTCTACATACTTCTTCTCATCGAAGATCCGGTTGATGATGGACTTTAACACTTCATGGAGGTAGGGCATCCCCACCACCTGCAGAGGGAGAGAATGGGTATGTTGATTGGGAAATGGAAAGGGACTTGTGTCATGGGGAAAGGATTCCCCACCCTATACAAATTCCATGTACTGGCATGCCCAAAGGGCATATGCTCTCCACAGATTTACTGTGTTTCATGCCACCTTAACTGTCTTGTTTTCCTCCAAAGGATCCTGAGAATTCTAGTTTGATAGGAATAAAAAATTGCTAACATATCCTCACCTCCTTCTCCAGGGAAACTACACCCCCAAAAATTCCTTGGGAAGAAGGAATGACCATGAATCCGAATTAAATCTGTGATACAAATATAACCCAAGTATTTGGGAGGCTTTTGGCCTCTTTGGTTCTTCACTCCAGTTTATTTATTAGATGTTTAGCCCACCCCATCAGCCACAGGACCCCCTGGTGCAGGCCATGCCAAGCAACTGCAGCTAACCAAACAAGAGACGGGTAAATAAATACTGCACACCTACCACGTCCCAAATTCACAGTTCTTGCATCCCTTGTTCCTACCACTAGAGGAACTAATACTAAAGGATTTTTAGAGATCATTTGATTGTGTGTCTTCAATACATGAAACCCCCAAAGTGGAAGATAAGCAATTTATAAACAGCTGAAAGCAGAAGGGCTCTCTCAAAGGTGGTTTACTTCTGAAAATAGGTTTAAAAGGTTTCCTAGTTGCTCCTCAGAGAAGCATACTTTTACAAAACAACCTGTGTAAAGAGTATGGCGGAATTTTACGGAGCTGTTTCAAAACAAGTGGCAGGGACTTCCTTCTGGCATAATCCCAGCCAATTAAGGATTGCACGGGTGATAACCTTGTAGCACGGTGCAGTCAGATTTGCTGTATGAATGTGCCACAAAGCAAAAATGAGTGTAACCCTGTGTTGCAAAGATGGAGGAAGAGCTGCACACTGCTTGACATTAAAACTCCCTTTCACGGTGGGTCGCTTGTCTGGCCTTCAGGCAGGAAGTCTGCTGTGCCTCTGCACCCGGAATCTGCAATCTTTCACACGCGAGATCAAGCCCCACAAACACGTGCAGTGCGTGACTCAGAAAATTGCGGATGCTTCCGATCATGCGGCTCTTTCTATTCACCTTGGGACGATCCTTTCAGCTTCTCCACCCCGTGTCCCTATCCCGCACACCCTCCTACAGAAACGCCGGCCTCTTCCTCTTCTCACTCACCTTCATGAATTGCTCCATGGATTTGGAGGCCAACGAGTTGGAGCGGAAGAGGGTGTTTGGATCCGCTGAAAGAGCACAGAGGGTTAGGCTTCACCATGCCTGCTTTAATCAGCCCCAGAGAGCGAGAAATGCAACCTGGGGTGACACCAGTTCCCATGTGCCACTGCTTTCATCATTTCTCAAAGAAGCAGCCGCCCGGTCCCCACAGCTCAGTTGAGAAGCCCCTTCAACACCAACTAAGGTTTCCGATATCACCAGCACTTCCATCCGTTATGCTCATTTATGGCGCCACTCCACTGAGATGACTCTGCTTGTTATCATGACTACTAGTAGCACTATTTATTAGATTTATATCCTGCCTTTTTGCTTCCCAAGGAATCAAGGTGGCTTACCTCCTTCTACGCCTCCTCCCTATCTTATCCCCACAACAACGAGCCTGTGAGGTACGCTGTGAGAGTCCAAAGTCACCCAGTTGGCTCCATGGCCGAGCGGGGACTAGAAGCAGGTCCCCAGGTTCCGCAGACCCGCGTTTTTAATTACGACACCACACTGGCTCTTCCCTCTTGTGGCTGGCCTACTGGAACATCTTCTAAACCAAGAGTACCCAACCGTTTCAACCCACAGCTGCCACAGATACGTGCACAGTTTAAGACAGGGATGGGAAATTGGTGTTGCCATGTGTGCTAAAGTGTGTACATGTGTATTTTTAAAGAACCCTGTCTCCTAAGGTTATCCTTATTTGTGAAAATGGGCTACAAGGCCGGGGAGAGCAGGGCAGCTATGAGCAAACCGGCGTCCTCACTCCGCCTCGCTTCTCTCACTCATTCCACTGTATGTTTGCTTTCCTAGAAAACCCAGGTTCACAGGAGCTGAATGCTGACCTGAATACTCAATGCAAGCAGGGCAGAATGGCTTAGACTCTGCATTTTGTGATTTTTACCCCCACAGTTGTCAGTGCTATCCTGCCTCTGCCACCCCTGTGAAAAGAAATTGACATTTGGACTTGTCAAGTCATCTCTGACTTGTGGAGACCCGATGCATGAGCTCCCTCCAAACCGTCTTGTCCTTGACAGCCCTGCTCAGTTCTTGTCAACTCAAGGCGGTGGCTTCCTTGATGGGGACCATGCCCCTCCTCTTTGCTCTTCCTCTTCTTCTGCTTTTGGCTTTCTCTAGCAGGATGGTCCTCTCCAGGGAGCCTTGCCTTCTCACGATGTACAACAGCCTCCGTTTCCTCATTTTTGCTTCCAGCACAAGTTCCGGCTTGGTTTGATCTAGGACCCTCCTGTCCATCCTTCTGACAGCCCAGGATCTTTGCAAGGCTCCCCTCCAGCACCATGTTTCAAACATAGCCATCGGGGCTGTTGGGTATTTTATTCAGAAATTCTGACATTCTCCAGGTATTACTTTGGCCACTGGGTCAGCACAGGTGACCAAGAATTGTACGCAAGCAAGCAAGATCACAGAGGCAAGATGGAGGGTTTCCCCCTCAAATTTGCATCCAACATTGAAAACACATGGACAGCCCAAGAAGGGAAGCCCCCTCTCCTGGGCAGCAAAGAAATACAATGGACTCTGAGATGTGAGATGGAGCTCTCCAGTTCTCTCCTAGCTCCCAGCAAACCAGCTAAAAACCAATAACTTTAATGATGATTAGGACGGTGTTTTTCACCTTATTACAGGCTGTAATCCCTCGCACATTTCTACCCTCTTCTCATGGGCTAGAAACTTGCCCCTTACTTTAAAAATAAAAACAAGATTTACAGGAGCTAGAATTGTGTGCCAAAACTCCCTCTTTCTGCATCTCTATGTGGCTTGAATACTATCTCATGGAATTACACATAATTTTAGCTGCATGGCCTTTCTGTGATCCATGCAAGGACCACTTTCAACCCATGGCTTGATGTACAAAGGAACTTACTGGTTCGCGAAACTTCTCGGAGGTTCAGGTAGTCCAAAAAGGGCACCACTAAGCCCTGCCCAAGGAAGATCTTGACTAGCTTTGTGGCCACATCTTGGCGACTCTCCACAGAGCACACGTCTTCCAGCAGAGTCAAGGATGTGACCTCGTCTTTGTCCTGCAATGCAGTGTAACATCCAGAAGAAACACAAAGGTACACGTATAGACGTGCATGCATTTAAAGTCTGTCTCCCTAGTGCCAAAGATGGACTTGTGCATAGATATGAGTGATAGAAGAGTACATAAGCTTAATTTGGAGGGTGCATAGAAAGGACTTTTTCTGCAAAGTGGATGGTTCCTGAATTCATCAGGCATGCTTGGAAAGAACCCTGTGAAGCTTCAGTTTGTACGAGTGAGAGCAGCTCCCCAGGGTCCTGAGATGCTGATGGCAGAGACCCAGGGCCTGGGTTTTTTGGTGCCTGCCAGGCCCAAAGTGGAATCCTCGTCTCTGTGTGCAAATGAGCTGCTCCACGTGGGGAACTGGGATTGTTGCCCCTAGGAACATCTCCCTGGAATATCTCCAGGCATGCCCGACTGCTGTGAGTCCAGTGCTCCCCTTTCTGCCCTTCGGCCCCAAAACACCAGGCAGCCTCTTTGCCAGGTTGTTCTGTATTGGCCCTTTGCAGCTGCAGGACAGAGCAACTCTGCACTCCTGCTAGGAAGCTGGAAGCCATGGCTCTGCGTCTGTCAAGAATGGTGGCTGACCCCATCCTGGGACTGCTCCCCAAAGCCCTTCCTGTTCAGTAAAACGGCGGACTCCCACCCTCAGGGGCAGCTTCCCCTGTTGATGGGCCAGCCAGTGGGGGTGCTGCAAGTCCTCCAACTGGGCCATTTTCCTCTCCTGATGCCTCGCCATGGGGCCAGGGGCCAGGCAAGGCAACGGCTCCTCCTCCTCAACCCCTCCCGTCCCTTCAAGAACATTCCCACTCTCCTGGTTAGCCTAGGAGCCTGTGAGCAGGTGCTTCCAAGACCTGTGCTCCTGCCTGCTCTCCCAAAGCTCCCGCCTCTGGTGTCCCAAGGTCCCCGTCCTCTTCTCAATCTCAGCCCCACTTCGTCCGTCATGCTGGCCCTCGGGCTATAAAGAGCTTCTTCCGTGGCATTAGGGCAACACGGCCTCCCTCGACCCCTGCATCCAAGGGGTGGGAAGCCTCTTTCACCCTGAGGACCAGCCTCCACTTCAGAGGAGCTCTTGGTGGCCCTGGTTCGGTGGTGGATGGAACCAAAGGAAAAGCGGCAGAGCCACAGAGACCAAAAATATCCCAGGATGTTGAGGCTTCAGGCTGCTACTGCCCATGAGCAAGCCTTAGGAAAGGCATTTCAGGACCTTTCAGAAATGGGGAGAAAGCATTCTGTTTGGCTGCCCTTGGACTTCTGTCCGCACCCAATAGATCTTCAACCCAGGCAGGAGCAAGTGTGCTCCCTTCTTCCCAATGGAAGACCCCTTTCCTTGGGGGCCCATTAGTTCAGATGGGTATCCCTGCTCCCTTCCCACAAAGCAGGCTAAACTTCCAACAGAGTCTCTCCAGGTTTTTCTATTTTTAAATTTGAAGCCTATGGCCAAGGACCCACCTCTGCTGGACACAAGATGGACTCCACCAGCAGGTCTATGAGTGGCTGGTAGTACCTGGATGGCAGGATCCTATCCTCCGTGAGCCGAACCCGCAGCCTCAGGGCACCCAGCTTCCCCCTGCAAGCAGAGCAGAGTGGCACCCCCACGGTCCCAACAGAAAAGGTGCAACATTTGACCTGCGGGACGGATGCAAAGACACCGAGAAGGATTGCCAGAACCGGGACAGAGTTTCAAACTGCTGGCACAGCTCTCCAAGCAAGCTCTTCCATAGGAACATGAAACGATCCCTGCTGGATCGGAACAGAAGCTGCATTCAGCTGTGCCTGAGCCAGGGTTGTGTTTCCTACAGAGGCCAACCAGGTGCCCACAAGAAGTCCATGAAGATGGCACAAGCCTTTTTAGTAGTGGCAACCCAAGGATTAGCAGCTCACTGATTCCTCGCATCTATCACAGCAGATCACACTCCTGTGAGTGAGTTCCAACAGTTAAGCACGTCCTGTGCCCAAAGGGCATCCTGAATCCCCAGCCAAGCAGTTTTATTGGGTGTCCCGACCACCACCATGGCGGGTTCTCGCATGACGGGAGAGAAATGCTCTCTCCAACTTCGCAACACTGCACACGACTTTACAGATCCCTGCCATGCTTCTACACCTATCTGTAGATCCGATCTGGTTTCAGTGTTCTCCAACCAGCCCCTGTGCAACCCTGGAATTTGCTGCAAGGGTGTCTGACACGAGGCACGGTAGTTTGGCCTTTGAACAAAGGGTTGGATTGGAAAGGTCTTTTAATTCCTTTCGACATCAGGCATTGGGAGAGTGAGCTCTTGAAACAGAGCTGGAGAGGTAGCCCCGTGAGGGTAGACTCTTGGATGGCATCCCCACAGCCACTCCACCTCCAAAGAAAGACCCAAAATACTGGCAGCTGTGTTGATCCCAGGCTGCATCTCCACTGGGAGCAGGTCTTTGGGAAAGCTCATGGGTCCCCATTGCCTGCTCAAAACTGAGCCATCCCAGAATGCTTTCCATTTCAACAAAGAAGAAAGTCACGTGGCTGGGAAAATCCCCTTCCCTCAGCTGCTGTAAGAACTTCCGCTGGAGCAGAGCAATTCTGAGGGGCGGGGGTGGCAGGGGGTGGCAGCACCCTGCTGATGCAAAAGAGCTGGAGCAGCTCCCCTGTGATTCCACTATGCCACGGCCCTGGAGCCGGCCTCCAGCACCTCCTCTGCCAGCCGTGCTCAGCCCTGGGCTTGGCAGCACGCGCCCAGGGTTTCGGTCCTTCTGCGGAGGCCACCTCGCTGGCCAGGCCAGTGGCCAAATGCCACAGGCCCCACTCCTCAGCCTCTGCCTGGGCAACCTGCCTGGCTGAGCACCTGCCCTCTTAGCTTGGCCCTGCTGCCTTGGAAGACCTGCCTGCAGGTCCTGGATGAAGCAGCCCCAGGCTGGCTCTTCCTTCACGCGGACTGAAGCCGCTGCCTCAGGCGGCAGGGGGTGAGAGATGCGGCACCGTGGTGAAGTGCAGGAGGGCGGTTGCGGGGCCGCACCATCTCTCCTGTGCCCCATAGGTTAAGGGTGTGTGAGGAATCCGTCTTGGGGTGAGATCCATCGGATTCCCCGGGCTCGGCTCCCAGGCTCCAGCCTGCTTTCCCGCAGCCATGCGTCAGGTTCCTGGCCGATGTGCCCAGCCATTGCCTGGCGCTCACCAAGCACCTAGCCCTGTGCAGCCTCGTCCGCATCATGGGCAGCGGCCTTTGGGCTGGCGGTGCACCTGGATGCCCACAAGCGTTTGCGGGATCCCGCTTGGCTCAGCTCCCGTTCTAAGACCAGGCCAAGCACAGGGGGACGTCCTCAATTGCCAGAGGAACAGATCCGTCCCAACCTTCCCGCAGGCTGGTCCCCTGCCCCTTAAGCATGGTGGAGAATTAAACGACGATTCAGCCACCCATCCACGTGGCTTCCGCACGTGCCACCAGGAGAAGCAGCATCGTGCCGTTCAGTGTCCTGGGCCATCCCTGAGGCTGCCTGCCATTGGCTGCTTGTTCTAGAACCTGGATATCTTCCTTGCCACATACTCTCTGGGCTGCCTCTGGGTCTCTTGGCCATCACTTGCCCTGTACCTGCCCCAGACCAGGGCTCCTTGCCTCTGACTTGACCATCACGGTTCCCCAAACCCAAGCCCGACTACCTAGGCTGCCTGGCCCCATGAGGGTTTATGGCTCCAACACCCAGGAAGAGGCTGCCTGCTCACCCAGCGTCTTCCTCCGCGCTGGGGAAAGGCAGCAGGCGGAACCAGTCCTTGAGCGTGGCTTTCTGCAGATCCTCCAAAGAGAACTCGACCTGCATGATCAGAGAAAAGGGAAAGGATCTCAGGGAAGGGGGGAGACAAAGATGTGAGCATCTTCATGTTGTCTTCCTCTTCCGGAAGAGAGGCAGGGACTCCAGCTGGGACCATGAATCTCTTCCAGACCAAGAGCGGAATTCCACTCTGGAGCAGCTCTCAGTGGGTTGCATTCCAGTGACAAGTGAAGTCAACCTCCACCCTCCAAAGACCAATATATGGTAGCTTTGGGGTATCATCCAGAGGCCAGAGGGGTCTAACTTTGGGGTCTAACCCTGAGGAAGATGGCACCCGAAAGCTCTCACAACTCAAAACTAACTAGGAGAAGTGTTTAAACCTTTCAGAATCAGGGAGGGGAAACCTGCAGAAAATCCAGGAGGCATCAAAAAATCAGCACTCAGGGGAACAATCGATGTTGTGGGCGGCATTAGGACGGTGAAGGGCTGCTTTGGGACCCCAGGAGGGCCAGACGCAGCCTAGAGACCGGAAGTTCAAAGACATGTCCGTGGGGTTGTGCCAAAGCAGTCTCAAAGCCCACTCTGAAGACCACTGGCCACCATCAGCCACCAAGAGGGCTGACACGTGACTCCACCGCTGCTTCTGGTGGGCTCACATCAGCAAAGAACTTATAGTTGCATCACTCTCTAGCCACCGCTGCCCCCTTCTGTGGTTCCACTGGACATGCCCGCAGCCACCCACAGAAGGCCAAGGTTCCAGGTCAAGCATCTGCTTTCTGTAAGTCCCTGCAAGCGTTCAGCGAAATCTGAACGGCCAGGGTTGGGGCTGGGACAGCCAGAGGGCCGTGGTGGCTGCTCAGATGTTCAGGCAAGTCCAGACCTGCATCCAAGCAACATTCCACTGAGGACAACCTGGTGCACTCCAGATGTATTGGGCTGTGACACATCTGGAGGGCGTCAGGCCAGGGAAGGCTGGCCTAGCAGCCTGCAGGGGCCCTGCCTGGATCGTCCTCCAGCGGACCACCCCTGGCCACTCACCCGGCCCAGGAAGTCATTCTTGCCCACCATGTCCCAATCCCACACTTCCACCACGAGGGGGGTTTCCACGGCAGCCCCGTCCTCCAAGACGAACTCCAGCAGCTCATCCCAGTGCGGGAAACGAGTCTTCTTGATAATCTGCAGAGATGCAAAGCAAAACACCTCAGTTCCCTCCTGCATCCCATCCCGACACGGAGCACGTGTTTCTTCTAGTCCCAAACTCACAGGGAGGGGGCGTGTGTCTGGAGAGGGAATCTGGAGTAGGGGATGAAATCTGGGACTTATGGCAAATGGGGCCGGGGAGGAGGAAGCGGCAAAGAAATAAGCTTGTTGTGGAATAATTGCCGGCTCCAGACAATTTACCTTGCAACATTCACCCCACCCCACCTCATGGTGTAGCTTCCCACATTTGATTGTAATTGTGTGGCAGGGGGCACACGCTGAGGCTAATTTCTGGAAGCCTTTGGATGAGCTCAGAAAAACCATCCTGAAGCCCTGAGATTGGGTCAGAAATACTTCTCGAAAGCCCTTGGTTTAGCTTGGAAAAACGATCCTGAAGCCCTCAGGCTAGCTCGGAAGATTATCCAAGTCTGGCTCATTTTGGCCCCCAGAAAAAAGCCAGAGCTACAGCACAGCCATGCTAGAAACTGGGCAGGAAGGTTCTGCTCAGCTGACCCTACAAAATGGGAAAGCCAGGCTCCGTGCTGGTATCTAGTCTATACCAAGCACTTGGGAATCCATCACAAAATGCCCACATGCATTTAACGTCATCATGCCGTTTGGCTCTAAGTAGGTCCTGACTTTGAGGAAAGGCTACGAAAGTCCATCCCACGGGATTTTAGAGGGTTTAATCAGCCATGAGCCCCATGCACGAAGGCCTCTGCACTCCATCTCAAGACGTCTGGTGCAAAATATCAGAAGCTTCTGGGGCTTACACATGCACCTCCGTGTGCAGAGGGATGCACCAGGGTCACAGCTGGAACTGCATCCCTTGCAGCAACAGGGTCTCAGGTGACTGAGCAAGCCACCGGTCCAGGTCTCAACATGGAGGGTCTCCAAAGCAGAGGTGCAGAACTGCTGGCACCGGGGGACATATCTGGCCCCCTGTGAGCGCCAGGGCTCCATCTCCTGGCCAGAGACCAGAATAGCAGCCCTGACAGTTGCAGGACTGGGTCCGTAGTCAATTGCGGGACCACCTGGGAGCCCTGAAGGAAAAGCTGTATAAGAACCGGCTCTTCCCTCCAGACGCTGTCTCAGCAATGAAGGTCTTTGATGTTGGAGCCCTCTGTGCCTTGTGGAACCTGTTTCTGGAGCTATGCTCATCACCTTGCTCCTGTCTCCACTTCTGGACCCTCCCGGCTTCCCGGTCTTCACCTGCTCCGCCTTCCGTTCCAGTCCCAGGTACCTGCTTCTCCTCAGCTTGCTCTCTGGCTTTCGACTCCTGACTGGCTTTGGCTGCTCTTCGCTATTTGGACTGACTGACCTGGTTCTTCTGCCGCCAGCCTCGACCTCTGGACCGCTCATCTGCGATTTGGAATCGGCCCTCGTAGTGCACCGCTTGCCTGGGTCCAGGTGCGCTGGTCTGACCCCCATCTGCCCACACCCTGATCCGTGACACCCTCCTATGTTCTCCAGAAGGCTCTCCCTCCGCACTAACCGCTGGTGGTTTGGCAGTTTCCCGTTTTGTGCAGGCTTTCCCACTTCTGGCCTTTGGATGCCGCTGTTCCTAAAAATTCAGCCCCCGGAGTCTCTTCGAAAGACAACCTGGCCCTTGGGCAGAACAGAACACTGCCCCCTGCTGTTGAAGTTTCCTGAGCAGGCTGCAGCTTTGCCTGGGCAATGATAAGCCTTTCCTGGCTTTGACTCTGGGCTTGGCCAGCTTGTCCAACCCGCTGCTCCTACTCCCGCCAGGAGTCCGTGCCAGGAACGAAGGACGCGCCAAAACTCACCGCTGTTTCCAGGACCTGCCCGTTCCACAGCACGCGGGCAAAGGGGTCGGAGGTGCCGGAGCTGTCGCGAGGCGCGAGGTCCCTAGGAAGGAAAGAGGGGAGCAGGCAGGGTCAGGACGGAGCAGGCAAGCCGCTCCTAGGGCTGGGGTGGGTGTTAATCTCGGCCACCGAGGGACACTCACCCCCCCCCCACAAAGGGGCCTGTGCACTGGTTGCTCAACTCACCCTCCAAACAAGGGGTGGGGAAGTCCAAGGGATCAAATCCAGCCCACCTGAGGCCCCAGGACAGCCTGGCAGGTTCTTCAATGGGCTCCACCCCTTCCCTTGCTCACCTGTTTCTCCTAACCACTGTGGTTATTTTTTTTTAATACACAAGTACAGAAATATACAAGTACACAAAATATACAAGTACACAATATACAATAATAAATATACAAGTACACAAAAAAAAAACTGTGAAGCAGAACAAACTAAAATGAGCCAAGTTGCCAAGGGAATTTTAAACAAATGCAACCTATACATTCGGCACCCAAATCTATCTATCTTCCTGTCTTTCAACACTCTATGAAAGTTTTAAAAAAAGAAATCATTAATCTATGCAACATCTCTTCCAATCACTTCAAATCCTCTGCTGCTTTTTCTCCCTTTTCCAAACCCCTTAGATCTCATTAATCATGCCGAACATAGTAAAATTTCCATTTAACATTGAATTCTTCTAATGCTCTTCTGTTTACATAATTATTTAACTTTGCCATCACAGCATATTCTGCTAGTCCAGTGATGGTGAATGTTTTAGAGACCGAGTGCCCAAACTGCAACCCAAAACCCGCTTATTTAGCACAAAGTGCCAACACTGCAATAAAACCGGAATACTGAGGTTTTAGTTTAGAAAAAAACAACTCATAGCCAAGCCAAGCAAATACACACACACACACACACACACACACACACATCTCCTTGGCAGCACACTGACCGGCCATGCAAAAACTGGGACGAGTCGCGGCTTGTGATGTCACCGCCTGGCCCCGCTACTCCTTTCCGAGCATGCGCATGGCCCCTGTGTGCGCTGTTACCCGACGCTCGGCTGCTGGGGCGCTGCTGGGGCGACTTGGCTCGCGTGCCAACAGAGAGGGCTCTGTGTGCTTGCTGTGGCCCGCGTGCCATAGGTTCACCACCACTGGCCCAAGCCTACCCTGGTGCACTCCCCTAACCCTAGTACAGGGGTAAAATACGATTGAAAGGGGCGATTCTGAAAAAACCCTCGATGAGTAGCTTTTTCCGCACAGCTCATCAGTTCTGCCCATTCTAAACACGTTCCAACCATCACAACCATGCCGGGACACCTCGTTTTTCTAACCCTAACCCCACCCTGGTGCACACCCCTAACCCTGATATAGGGCTAAAGTTCCATGGAAAAGGGTGATTTTGAAAAAGCCTTCCTTGAGTAGCTTTTTCTGCACAGCTCAACGTTTCTGCCCATTCCAACCATCAAAATTGTGCCGGGACACCTCATTTTTCTAACCCTTGTCTATTTCTCCATTCTTCAGTTGTTGGGAGCTCTGATGAGTTCCATTTTGAAGCAACTCTGGTTTTTGCTGCAGTTGTCAAATGCTTAAATAACTCTGATATATTCTTTAAAAAGCTTTCGGGCACAATATTCAAAAGCATATTTTTGGGACTCATGGGAAACTCAATTTTAATTTTTTTCTGCTTTTCCGCATGTATCAATTCCCAAAATGTCTTCATTACTTCACGAGTCCAGCACATATGATAGAAAGTCCCATCCACCCTGTTACATTCCCAGCATTTTCCATTGTAATTCTTATCTAATTTTTCAGTATCTTTTGGAGTCATGTACCACAGATAAAACATCTTTCACCAATTTTCTCTTAATGCTTGACTAGCAGTAAATATAATACCTTTCTTCCAAAGAGCTTCCCACAGGCATGGTGATATTTCTATTCCTAACCGCTGCTTGATGGTTTTCTGGCCCGTGTGCCTTTCCCTGTTGTGTTTCCACTCCTAAGGCTTAGTTACTATCAATAAAAGCTTTAAGCTGAAATCGGGAGCCAATTTGCTATTTTTGGTTTTCCTCTGTTGGCCTTTGGCTCCGCCCACCATGGGAACACGGCCCCCAAGAGCTTCTCTGAATGGGAATGCGGCCCTCGGGCTGCAAGTTTCCCCACCTGATATACTTGAACAGGGATCTCAGTCGCTGGCAGCTGTGTAGCCAGATCAAGGCTACTGAGAAACAAGAGGGTATCCGAGTCCTCCGGGGAAGCCCACATTTTGCAGAAGTAAAACAAACCTTTAAGCAGGGAAAAACTGGGGAGCAAACAGAGCTCATCCATGGGATGAGCACATGCAGTGATAGGTGTTGCCTGGCACGGGAATGGAAGCCTTGGGGAGACTCAAAGTATGGCATCGGGACGGGACAGATGTGATTGACGGGGCTCCGTTATCACACTGGTAACTGTCCGGTGGTGGGCTGTGGGGGCCCAATCTAAGCCCTGTAGGGGTGAAGATGGATTGTTTGGCAAAGTTCCCAGCAGGGGTTTGAATGGCAATTCTGCGCTTACTGGGAGAAAATCAAGCTTTTCTCAGCTGGATGGTACAGGAGAGATCTCAGCTCTCTGTAAGTCCTCGGCATATTTTTTTTGTTTAGTCTACTTTAGCTATTAGCATCAGATCTACTGGGAACTATTTTTATTTCTTTTTTTGCAATGATACCCGTGGAAAAAGCTGCTGCTTTGTTTGCTAATTGATTTGCTAATTGATATAAAAGAAGAAACAGAAAGCCCTTCGGATGGAGGAGGGAAAGAATTCTTCCCCCCCGACAGAATTGAAAGGTGGTGAATTACATGAGAGAGAGAGAGACAAAGCTCTTTGTAAGTAAGGAAAAGATCTTTTTTTCTTCAATCTCTCCAAGGGCAAGATCTAAAACAATAAATTAATGTTTAATTGAACGATAGAAATAATCTTCTTGTGTGTTGGACTACTTCCAAAATAACGGGCATCTTTGCACCTTTGTTCCTGGGACCCCTGCCAAGGCTGCGAAATCACTGCCAATATGGAAGAAATTAATATGGAAGAAATTAAAGAAATTCAAAAAACACTTTTGCTGCAGGTCTCACCTGCAATTAGCAGAATCCCCATACTTGGGTCCAGGAGCATCTTCTTCCCTATGTGCCCTCACACCTCTTGAGATTTGAGGTGGAGGTCCTGCTCCGGGAGCCCTCCTTGAAGGCAATTATGAGGGTGGCTACCCAGAGAAGGGTCTTCTTTGTGGTGGTGCCCTGACGATGGAATACGCTCCCCAGAGAGGCTCGCCTGGCACCAACGTTATATTCTTTTCGGCGTCAGGCAAACCCCTTTTTATTTTCCTGCCATTTTAATATTTAATGGATTTTAACTGGGGTTTTAGTATTTCAGTTGTCAGATGCTGGGATGTTTTGTTTTATTCCACTTATTTTCGTGGAAGCTGTCCCAAAACGCTGGTGGTGCACAGGGCAGAAAAGCTGTTAATAAATACAATGAATGAATATACTTCTGTGTGCTATATTAAAGAGACAGCCATCTATTCTCTGAAAACCAAGAGCTAGAGAGGTAGTGTGGTATAGTGATTAGTGCTGGACTTGGGCGGGGCCTGAATTCAAAAGTCATTCTGCTGCAAAGCTTCCTCAGCAACCTTGGGCCAGTCCTTGTCTCTGAACCTAACCTGCCTTGCAAGTTTGTTGTGCAAGATTATGTATGCCTCCCTGATTGAGATAGCAATGTAACCAGTAACAGTCAACTCGTATTAATAATATGATAATTAATACTCTTTTTTATTTATTTTTACATTTCTATTGCACCTTTTTCTCCCTTGCAGGAACCCACAGTGGCTTATATGACCCTCTTTGTTCTCACCATTTTTATCTTCACAACAACCCTGCGAGGTAGGCTAGATTGGGAATCAGTGACTGGCTCAAAGTTATCCTGTGAGCTTTGTGGCCAGGAGGAAACTAGAACCTTATCTCCTGAGTCCCAAACCCGTGCTCTAAGCTTTACGCCACACTGGCTTTCCATTCTGTTCTCCTGCAGGTTTGCTCAGAGACTAACAGCTTCGGCAATCCCAAAATGCATTACAAGGAAGCAGTGGACTAAATAAGGCCCTTGCAGCAGGCAATGCACCAAGGAAGGTGATGGGGAAGCGCAGCCCATCTGCCAGCCCTGCTGAAAGCCAGCCTCATGTTTTCCTCTCCCCTCCTCTTCCTTTCTTCCTTGTGTCTTGTATCTTTTTCGACTGCAAGTCTATGGGCAAGGGCCATCTTGCTGACCAGATTATTTGCAAGCTGCTCTGGGACCCCGTTTGGCTGAAGAGTGTGCTAAAAACCCCTCGCCTAAATAATTTGCCCACTCAACAACTACTGCAAGAACCAACCATCCATTTCCAGCCTCATCAAAGAACGGTTCCCCTGTGCATGTAAAGAGTGCCTTTCCCCTTCACCACTAAGGAAGCTTAACTTGTGCACCGCGTTCCTAGATTTAAGGAAAGAGGGCAGCTTGCCCAGGTCGATGCCCAGTTTGAGCTCGGCTACCTCTCCTTGGAAGTACGCCTTGCCTTCACAGCGTTTTGAGAGCTTGGTCCCAGACAAGCAGACACGCCCCAGGGTGGGGGATTCTTACCCTTTAGCGTGGTCCACCTGCACCACCTCTGAACTGTATCCTGGTACATCCCTGATCATGCCCACCTCTCCCCCCGCCCGGCTATTCACGCTGCTGTCGGCAGCCTGGTCACCTACGTGCCCAGTTTCCAGGGAAGCCGGGATGCCGGTTTGGCTGGGATGGAGCGCTGCTTGGCCCGGCGCCTTCCCTCAGTCCTCCACGCCCACGCACGCACACGCAGGCGCACAGCCTGTCCTGCGGCATCACACCTGCAACGCGGAGCGCCAGAGCGCTGCCTCGGCTTCACTTCCCAAGCGAGAGATGCTGCCGGTTGATCCACCCCTCATTCTCCCCCTCCTCAGGTGCGCTTCCGACCCAGGCGCCCGGGGCTTCGGCCCCAGTCTGGTGGCGTGGTAAAAACAAGCCCTGGCACTT